TTAATTGATTTCCCCATTTTGGAAGGGCGTCAGAAACTTAAGCTTTGGAGGAGAGGAATGCTATATTTAGTTCTCTCCGAATTTTTCAAGAAAAATTGTTGGCTCACCAAAGGAAGCCTCGTTGATTGTAGGGTCAAAAACTTAAGTTTTGGAGGAGAGGAATGCTATATTTAGTTCTCTCCGAATTTTTCAAGAAAAATTGTTGGCTCACCAAAGGAAGCCTCGTTGATTGTAGGGAGCACGTGGTTCCCGAGTTGGAGTGTTCTGCTGCTATCGAAGTTCTTGTGCATAATGTGTTGGAGGGTTGTGCTGCTCTCGATAGTAATGCACACAATAAGTCTATTTTGTGTATTGAGGGCCCAAAGACCAAGGCTAGTGACGTGAGTATGGGTATTGTGGCTTTAAATAAAGAGAGGAATATTTCCATTGATTCAAGTGGAAAAGTCTTGTGTAGGGAGAACGTGGGATCTGAGGTGGGGGTGTGCGCTGTCAACGCACATGCTGTCCCAAACGTGCCTAAAGAAGGGTTGTCGAATAAGGGCATTGTGCCTTGCATGGACGTGGTGGTTCACAAAAAGAGTGGGGCAAAAGAAGACAGCAGGAAAAGTTGTGAGACTGCACGTGTTTTTAAGGGGAAAAAAGGATTTTTCTATTCATTTCCCCATGTTGGATGGACGTGTAGATTCAAAGGTGGTGGAGGATGAGTTTAATGTGGGCCTCACAAATAAGTGTGTAATCAATAGATCTAAGGATTTTTAATTGATTTCCCCATTTTGGAAGGGCGTCAGAAACTTAAGCTTTGGAGGAGAGGAATGCTATATTTAGTTCTCTCCGAATTTTTCAAGAAAAATTTTCGACTCACCAAAGGAAGGCTCGTTAAAGTCGAAGCAAGAGGACTCAGAGGAAGGTGCATCGAGGGGAGTTTTTTCTGTTCTTGAAGGGCATGGGTGATGGGGAATCAAACTGCATGTGGGATGCAAGGATGCTGGGCTATTGGGGAGCAGTAACATGGTATGGGCATCTGCCACCTTCACGTGGGTGGCATAAGCATTAGCTTGGGCAGAATTAAAAATGTTTACTGGGTGTTTTTTTTGGTATGTTTCAGATTATTATTGTAAGGGGTTTGTTAGTTTTTAAACGTTATGTAATCTTTTAGTATTAATGAATTTTGAGGCACTCTTTTCCTCCCTCTGCCGATTAAAAAACACTAATTGGTGCTCCATTAATCATGAGAGTTTTTTTTAATGAGGCCTACTCTTCCAATAAAAAAAAACTCTTCTCTTGTATTTGATTACTTGAATAGTTGTTCTCTTGCTTCTTCAAGTGTCCTTAGCTTGATTTATAGTTTGGAATGATTTTGAAGTCGTATATAACCGTTGGGGTTGGATCCGTTTGGAGATTGTTTTTCTACAAAAATAGACTGACCAAAACAGTGTATCGGTATAATATTAAGGTGCATCAGTATAATATCAAGGTGCATCGATACCATTCATTAAATTCAAATTTTATGACCATTAGACTGTGTGAACAGTGAGTGCATCGGGACACTGTAGCAGTGTATTGATATACCTTTTACATTCGATGTTTTTTAGCATCGATACTGTTCACACGGTATCGATACTGTTCATCAAAACATTTTTATTATATCAAAACATAATTCAACAATCTCCCCTTTTTGATATAACAAAACATTTAAGAAATTTTAAAATTTTCTTTGAAATCAATTTTAAAAATTTACTTCCCTTACTATATTCTCCCTTTTTTTGTTAAATCAAAAAGACTCTATAAACATTTTTAAACAAGATTTTTTTTTTAAAAAAATAGCCAATTGATTTAAAATTTAAATATAGTTTGAGTTACTAAGATCACAATCAAGAGAAAGATTAACCATTAGTTCCATAATTCATAAACAATGTGTAATGATAAATTGGTCATATTTATCTAAAATGTAAATGATGCAAAAATTAATAAACTAATATAAATTCAACCAAACCAAATATATAATCATTCAAGTTCAACTTCAAATACCGAAATCATCCAAAATATGTCAATCCACAAACATCTAAAATGTTTTAACAATAGATCCTAAGTTTAATCCAAGAAAACTAAGGAAGGTAAGGTCTAATCATCCATAGGAGGATCGGGAGGATGAGGATAATGTGCTCGCATCTCGAGTGTGAGTGCATCTAAACGTTCGCGCATCTCCCGTTGAAATTCTAATTGTTGAGCCTCATAGCAGTTAGATGAGACTCTATGGATGAAACCTTAGATCAAATGACTCCACAAACGATCGAAAGTATGGAGGCATTTGTTCCTCTTAAAATAGCTCTTGAAGCTCTGGATCATCATCCGCTGCCGGTGGAGCTCGTGAAGAACTAGCTCCCGGTGTTTTCTCAGTGGTTCGAACCCATTGATCACCTTTCTTTTTTTATCCCGATTTCTTTAAAGATGTGAGATTTATTTGGTTCTGGAGAGGGATGAAATATCAAGCGAAACCTTAAGCCCAAGTTTGATAAACAGATTACTTAAGAGACAACCGTAAACTAAAGTTTCTACATTTTTTGATGAAACAACGTTTAAGATATGTACTAGCTCACAAAAAATAATCTGTGGCAAATTTATTTTCTTTTTATGTTGGATACAATACATCCACCATAAATCTATGACTCTAAGAGAGGAATACCTACCTCCGGATGGTCTAAATCACCAGCAGATTATCAAGTGAAGAAAATCGCTTGTAATGAGTTTTTAAGGTACTTACACTACCATTCTCTCTCAAACCCAAATCTCCATTTGTTCAAAACCTTCGATCTATAGTCGGAATCTAATAGTTCTTCAACTTCTAAACTTGTTGGAATCATCCAACTCGTGCAAAAATCATCACATTCCCACAAAATTCGAATTTTCAAGGTAATATTTCAAAAACTCCTGTTTTATTGATTTTTGAACATATGACTAGTTTTAATTCATTCTAGGTTAAACTAAATATCGAACATTGATTAAATAATGTTTAGAAACTAGATTTTACAATTAATTTTATCAAAAACACACAATTTTTCAAAAAAATTTGGAATTTTCGAAAAAGATAAAAAAATTCAAAAATTATTTTTAAAATTTGATATTTTTAATTTAATTATGTTGTTTTAAAAATTAAATATTGATTTTCAAAAATTGTTTTCAAAATTGCCCATTAAGATCCAGTTTAGAGAACCTTGAATATTGCAGACTCTTATTGAGTTTTGGAATTGATTATATTGCATACATATATTTTTAAAATTGCAGGTATCTATTTTATTTTGATTTCTTGAACCATGTCTAATCCTAAACGCCCTAGGCCATCCTCTAGTCGTTCGAGTCAAAACCGACCTCTCATTCCTCATCCATCTCAAAATCCAAACGAACCCGAAATGACCATTCTTAATTCTTGCTTCAACCAACCTGGTCGTCGTCGAGAAAAACTCTATCATAGGTTCGTTAATTCTTTCCAATCCTACAAAATCCGGGAAGAACGTATCCCTTCCATTCAAGCAATGATCGATATGAACTTCAAATATCTTCCTATCCTTCGTTCCTGGAAGTTTGATAAACTGTTCCAAATTAAGCCCATAGTTTATCACCAATTAGTCCACATTTTCTACTCCAATACGATCTGTGTCCAAAATGAGCGTCAAACCGCAATCATAGGAATTCGATCCTATCTCTTACCTGAATTCATTTATATCGACTCGGACACTATCGTTAATGTCTTTGGTTTAGATAACGTGAGTCTAGATAATGAAAAAGATATTGTGGCTACTCCTTATCAATCTAAGGGTAGTGTAAGTACCTTAAGAACTCATCACAAGCGATTCCTTCACTTAATCATCTCCTGGTAGTTTAAACCATCCGGATGTAGGTACTTCTCTCTTAGAGTCATAGATTTATGATAGATACATTGCATCCAACATAAAAAGAAAATAAATTTGCCACAGATTATTTTTGGTGAGCTAGTAGATACCGTAAACATTGTTTCATCCAAAAATGTAGAAACTTTAGTTTACGGTTTTCTCCTTAGTAATTTGTTTATCAAACTCGGGCTTAAGGTTTCGCTTGATATACTCATCCCTCTACATAACCAAATAAATCTCACATCTTTAAAGAAATCGAGATGAAAAAAAGGAATGTTATCAATGGGTTCGAAACACTACGAAAACACCGGGAGCTAGTTCTTCACGAGCTCCACCTCCACCGGCAGCGGATGAGATCCAGAGCTTCAAGAGTTATTTCAAGATATCGAAAATCATGTACCCAAAAACGAGCCGGTACAGCAAGAGGAACAAATGCCTCCATACTTTCGATCGTTTGTAGAATCATTTGATCTAAGGTTTGCATCCATAGAGTCTCATCTAACTGCTATGGGGGCTCAATAATTAGAATTTTAACGGGAGATGCGCGAACATTTAGATGCGCGAATGTTTAGATGCACTCACACTCGAGTTGCGAGCACATTATCTTCCTCCTCTCGATCCTCCTATAGATGATTAGACCTTGCATTCCTTAGTTTTCTTGGATTAAACTTATAACCTATTGTTAAAATATTTTAGATGTTTGTGGATTGACATATTTTGGATAATTTGATATTTATGTTTGACGTTGAACTTGAATATTTATATATTTGATTTGGTTGAATTTATATTTGTTTATTAATTTTTGCATCATTTACATTTTAGATAAATATGACCAATTTACCATTACACATTGTTTATGAATATTGAATTATGGAACTAATGGCTAGCCTTTCTCTTAATTGTGATCTTAACAGCTTAAACTATATTTAAATTTTAAATCAATTGGCTATTTTTTAAAAAAAATCTTGTTTAAAAACATTTATAGTCTTTTTGATTTAACCAAAATAAGAAGAATATAGTAAGGGGAGTAATTATTTAAAATTGATTTCAAAAATGACTTTCAAAGAAAATCTTAAAATTTATTAAATGTTTTGTTATATAAAAAAGGGGAGATTGTTGAATTATGTTTCGATATAACAAAAATGTTTTGATGAACAGTAGTGAACAAGCCATCTAGCATATTCCCTTCTTGTGCATAATTCATCAGGTCGTACATCATCTTCAATGATCTGCAAGCCTTAATGTTTTTATACAATCATATGCAGTTCATTTGAAAAGGATCTGAGATGATTTCATATAAAAGAAGCTTCAAGAAACAAACCCTAAGCTTCTTTAGAACCAACAAAGCTTCCTGCTGAGCAGAATCCACAGCAACAGGTACAACAATGAGCTCACGCTTATGACTAGGTGCTGAAAGTTTCAAAGAAAAACAATAAAATTTCCAAAATAATTCGGTGAATAAATCAAATAGATTGAACATTATACAATTGTTCGAAACCGTGTCCTCAAAAGAACACATTAAAATTAGAAACCTCCGTTATGATAATTTAACTTGTTCCACCTGTCAACAAATGCAATCTAAATGTTCAAACAAAAGGAAAAACACAGAATTAAAAGGGGTGTATGATTGATCGCCATACCTGAAGGAACAATTTCAGGAACAGCTAGAGGTACATAGTCGGGTATTGCCTCAGCAGCCGGTTCATCAGATTCAAGATAGTCCCTAGCTTCAGTTTGATCAATTTTCACCTCCCTGGAGCTAAAGACCACGTTAAAAGCATTCAATGGACTCCTAAAGTCAAACATAAACCCTGCAAATCACAATGCAAAATGCACTAAAACTTGAGTTTAAAAATGCCGATTGTGTTCATTCTTGGAAATAAAAATACACACCTTTTCTGTAGAATAAAAAGTACGCAACTGCAATTGCAGTAGCCAGTGAAGACCCAATAACACTCCCTAAAAAAATAGAAGAAAATCCTGCAGAACAGCAAGAACGCATTTCTGATTCGACCCAATTCTGGTACAAAGAACAAATCTTCAAGAAAGAAAGAAACCTTTTTTCTTTGTTTTAGTCGGGAGGGAACCAAGAAATGTCAACGTCTGTGTGAAGAAGAGAAGCGGAGATACGGAGAATTTGGGAGTTGGAGGATTTGGGATAGCAGACAAATGAAGTCGGAGATGTAAAGAAGGAGAGGCCGCTGCCACGGAGAGTAAGAAAGGATGGAGCCTCGGAGGAGAAGAAGAGGGACGATGGAAATGCGGTGGCTGGGCCCATCCTCCGGTTAACAAAATTAGGGGGCCGAAGAGAAAAAAAGGACGATGAAGCAAGCAGCATCGGTATCAACATCAACAGCAAGCTTCGGATGTGAGCTTTGGGGTCGACGCCTTGCTCTCGGGCTCAGCTGCTGCCCTGCACACTTCACTTGTCTCAACCCTTGAGCACCTCTGTTTCTCTTTGGAAGCGCCATGGTTTTCCTTTATTTTTCCTACCAAACGATAACTTCTGGCTCGGCGATATTAAATAAAAAACCCTAAAAGAATATATATCGGAATAGTAACCTAAACAATAATGTCTGCTCGCGATTGTAGACTAGACAATACAATTTAATATTTTATAAAAAAAAATCGCTTCTTGGAGTGTCTTGAAATATTAAAATATATCATAAATTTTAATATGAGTTAAATTAACCTTTAAATCTTTAACCCTAAATTTTAATCCTAAAAAAATATTATTTTATTATGAATTTAAGAAATAATATGATAAATATATTAATATATCATTTAAAATTATATTTCATTGATATGATCATTGGTTGGGAGATGGACATCGGCTAGTGTTTTTATATATTGGTTCTGATAGCCCGAGTCCTTTGCCAGTTAGTGAAATGACTCTTTCTTCAGGATCGTGGAATTGGTCGTTACTTTCTGGGGTCTTGTCGGAACTTATTTTGCAGCGATTGCTGCTGTTAGACCACCTCAACCTCATTTGGGACCGGATGTCCCAGTTTGGAGATGGGAGTCAAATCGCAGTTTTACTACAAAGACAGCCTATGGGTTTTTAACTCATAATGATGAAGATGGTGAACATAAGAGATGGAATTTAGCTTGGAAGCTGGAAGTTCCTCAACGTGTGCAGGTTTTCATTTGGCTAGCTTTGCATGATCGTTTGCTCATTAACTCGGAGCGATGCATGCGACGCTTAACCACCATGGAGGACTGCAAGATTTGTCGTGGAGGTGTTGAGAACTTAGACCATGTACTTCGACGTTGTAGATTGGTGATGCAGGGGGATCCGAGACAGATGATGCTGAGCTATCAGATTGCACGTTGATGGCGCTGAGATACCATGAGTTGGCAGATCAGCGCAAAGGCGGGAATTGATTGTGACATGTTCCTCATTGGGGTCGTTTTGAGTATGTTTCAATCTTTTGGCCATAACTTTGGCTACAGGTGTCAGAATCGCGCATAAGACCCCAATCCGGAAAGCTCTTTTTCGACGCGCACGCTCTCCACATTGAGCCATGCTCCATTCAGCCTTTTTTCAACCTCAAATTCTGCCGTTTTCCCCTCCGAATCACTAGATTTAGTTATTTTTTACTATTTATGGTAATATTTCGATTGTTAATTAGGAAGTCAATTTAAATCCGATTTAGGCTGGATTTTTGGGAGATTGCTTATTTTATTTCGAATTTCAATTTAGAGTGATTTTTGGGATTTTGCTATTTTTGGCAAAATTCGAATAAAGACGATTTTTTTGCTATAACAGTCCGGCTTGTGGACTGCTTTTTGGATGGTTTTTGATTTTATAATATTTTATTAAACCCTAGAGACTTTTTTTTCTCTGGTTTTTTGGGCGAATTTTCTCTTGTAAATCGTCTGTCGGAGCTAGCCTACAGGATAATCACTATTCTGTCTGGCGTCAGTTGGTGTCAGAGCTTCAACATCTTCTTGGGAAATTTCACCAGTTTCAATGGCTGGAGGTCGTGGTCGTGGTCGTCGTGAGCAGGTTCCGAATGAGGAAGCCCAACGCCGTGATCGCAGCGTTCAGGATGTGATGATTGCGGATTTGTAGAGGCAAGTCGCAGAATTAACCCAGCGCCTGGCGGCGTAGGATTTCGAGGATCGTGAAGCCTCTGATCACGATACCAATTCCACTTTCGAAAACCCATATCACAATCGCGTAGGATTCCGGGGCGCAGGATTCCGGGAGCACCGTGGTCGGGAGGAGCGTCATGAAGACCTCGGTTTTCTGGTCGATCTCCCTGAGTTTTCTAGTACGTTACAGGCCGAGGGATTCGTGGATTGGATTAATGAAGTGGAGCGTATTTTTGAATATAAGGAAGTCCCCGATCGTGTGAAAGTGAAACTGATCGCCATCAAACTCAAGGGCAGAGCATCTGCGTGGTGGGAACAGTTACGACGTTCACGAGAAAGACAGGGCAAAGCCAAGAACACTGATTGGGAGAAGATGAAAAAGAAGATGAAGGGCCACTTCCTTCCCTTCGGCTACACGCAAACCTTATTTCAGCGACTTCATGCGTTGAGGCAGGGCGCGCGATCAGTCGATGATTACACGGAGGAGTTTTACCAATTGGTCGCCCGGAATGATTTATCTGAGACGGAGGAGCAGATGGTGGCGCGATATTTGGGGGGTTTACGCCAGCCCTTACAAGATGTCCTCAGCCTTCATTCATTGTGGAGTGTTTCGGAAGCATACCAGCGTGCACTTGCTATTGAAAAACAGTAAAACAGGAGACCAGTGATCAGGAGCGATCACAACAGTCGACCAGTTCGCCCTCAAGAGTCTCGTCCTGCTCAGCAGCCACCGTAGGGTAATTCTAACCCTACTATTAGATGTTTTCGTTGTGGTGAACAAGGGCATAGGGCGACTGATTGCAGGAAGCCTGCTAGTCAAAAGGGCAAAAATTTGTTGATTGAGGAAAACGTGGAAGACGAGACTGAGGAGATTGGCGAACCCGTGTATGACGATGATGAGACTGATGATGTGCTGTATGGAGATGGTCATGAGACTCTGGTCGTTCGCAAGAGTCTACTTACCCCCAAGGGCGATTCAGGGGACGATTGGTTGAGAACCAATATTTTCCACACGACTTGCACAGTTGCAGATAAAGTCTGCAAAATGATCATTGACAGCGGCAGTTGTGAGAATGTAGTGTCCGAGGAGGTTGTCCAGAAATTGCAGTTGAAGACGGACCGTCATCCTAAGCCATACAAGTTGTCATGGCTAAATAAAGACAGTGAGGTAACAGTTGATAGGCGATGCCTCGTGTCTTTTTCAATTGGTAGAAAATATTTTGATAATGCCTGGTGTGATGTTGTGTCTATGGATGCGTGTCATATATTGTTGGGTCGACCTTGGCAGTATGATCGCATGTCATTCATGATGGACGGAAGAATACATATTCCCTTAGCATCAAGGGAAAAAAGATTGTGTTGGCACCCCGGCGGGAAGGACTTACTCCTACCCCAGTAACCCATAATTAGGGATGGCAACTCAACTCGAATCCGACGGGTTCTGACCCGACCCGACCCGATCGGGTCGGATTTTTTTTTAAAAAAAAATTGGATTCGGGTCGAGTCGGGTTTTTTTAAATGTACTGTTCGAGTCGGGTCGGGTCGGGTTTAGGGTGAAAAAAATCCGACCCGACCCGACCCGAAAAATATATATAATTTTATCATATATATTTAGGGATAATTACAATAATGTCCCTCCATATATAATTTTTTTCAATTAAGTCACTGTTTTCATTGAATAATTTTTTTTTTTATTATTTCGGGTCGGGTCGGGTCAGATTTCTAAGTCATATATTCGGGTCGGGTCGGGTCGAGTCGGGTGAAACCTTAATTTCGTCGGGTCGGGTCGGGTCACGGGTGAAAAACCCTTTCTCGGGTCGGGTCGGGTGGCCCAAAAACCCGACCCGACCCGACCCATTGTCATCCCTACCCATAATACTAATCTGCTTTCTATGTCCAGGTTTTTAGATGAGATTGAGCATGGCGGCGTGGTCTATGCCTTGCTACCTTGCGAGAACAATGCAGTAGACGTGGATACAGATTTACCAGTAGAGGTGCAGCGACTGCTAGCAGAATTCTCTAACTTGATGCTAGAGGATTTTCCTCCTGGACTACCACCTATGAGGGATATTCAGCATCAAATTGACCTTGTTCCTGGGTCAAGTTTGCCAAATCGACCAGCATATCGCCTCAGTCCCAAGGAGGCCGAAGAGTTGCAGCGACAGGTGGAAGAGTTATTGGAGAGGGGCTATATCCGAGAGAGTATGAGCCTATGTGCAGTCCCTGCTCTGTTAGTGCCAAAGAAAGATGGTTCTTGGCGTATGTGTGTTGACAGCCGAGCGATCAACAGAATTACAGTGAAGTACCGGTTTCCAATTCCTCGTCTAGATGATATGTTGGATCAACTATCTGGTTCTAAGATCTTCTCAAAAATTGACCTTAAGAGCGGTTACCACCAAATCAGAATAAGGCCTGGAGATGAGTGGAAGACGGCGTTTAAAACGCCACAAGGGTTGTATGAGTGGATGGTCATGCCTTTTGGGTTATCCAATGCGCCCAGTACATTCATGAGATTTATGCATCAGGTCTTACGGCCTTTTATGGGGAAATTTGTTGTAGTTTACTTCGATGATATCCTCGTTTATAGTCCGACATGGACTTCACACTTCGATCACCTCCGTGCTGTTTTTGAGATGCTGAAAACGGAGTGCTTGTTTGTCAATCAAAAGAAGTGTTCTTTCTTCACTACTTCTGTGACTTTTCTTGGTTTTGTTGTGTCTACTGATGGTGTTCATGCAGATTAGTCAAAGATAGATGCAGTCTTGGAGTGGCCCAGACCAAGAACCTTACATGACATCCGAAGTTTCCATGGCTTGGCGTCTTTTTACCGTCGATTCATTAGAAATTTCAGTACTCTGATCGTCCCTATCACAGAGTGCCTCAAGGGGCGTGATTTCCAGTGGTCTGAGGAGGCAGAGGCCAGTTTTCAACTGGTCAAGCAGAAGATGACCGAGGCTCCAGTTTTGGCACTTCCAGATTTTGACAAAGTGTTCGAGGTAAATTGTGATGCATCTGGCGTTGGCATTGGTGGTGTTCTGAGTCAGGCAGGTCGTCCGGTTGCTTTTTTCAATGAGAAGCTATCGGGATCAAAGAAAAATTATTCCACTTATGATCTGGAGTTCTATGCCATAGTTCAGTCCCTGAAGCATTGGCGTCACTACCTAGTACAGAATGAGTTTATTCTGTTTACCGATCATGAGGCCTTGAAGTACATCAATGGCCAACACAAGCTGAGTAGACGTCATGCCAAGTGGGTAGCATACTTGCAAGAATTCACTTTTACGCTGAGGCACCAAGCAGGGAGTTTGAACCGCGTCGCAGATGCCCTGAGCCGTCGTACCTTACTTCTCACCACCATGAGTACTAAAGTTGCAGGATTTGAGACGTTCACAGATATGTATGCAGC